GACGAGGAGGGGAGAAACACGACGATGGAAGGCTCCAGACAGGGTGGATGTTCGGAGCCGCGGCGTAAACCTCTTGAGTAGTGCCCCTTCGCGCAGGCGCTGACTGCCACCTTGTAGCTGCTCGCGCTCCTCGGGAGGCACCCGAACGGCCGCCGCCGCCACCACGACTCGACTACCGCCCATTACCGAGGCCTCCTAAAAGGGGACCCGATCAGATGGGATCGGAAGATAAAGCCGCATCGCAAACCATCGGCGACAACGGCACGGAGGATCAGACTCCAGATCGCGCCACATCGCCGATGCATCGTCGATGCGGCGCGATTCCCCGACTACAAAGACACCCGGAGGTCCGCCACACCTCTGGAGATCTCCGCAGGCCCCTGGAGGCCCGAAAGGGGCCAAGCGCACTACGTTGCCTTGATCCTCGAACATCCTGGGCGCGAGTTAATGGGGGGGCGATACATGGAGGGGGAAGAAAGGTGCCCTTCTCGGGCCCTAAAGGCACTCCTTTCTGCAGTGCCCCCCCCCCATTTATCGCCCCCCCATCACGCGCCCCCTAACAAACGAGGTGCTCCCGGCCTAGCGGCTTTTGACACACTCCGACCGGGCCAGAACTGAATTGGATCTTACGGTACCCGGCGTCCCCCCGGCTCACGCCCCTCCCCTCCCACAGCCGCCCGCCCGACGAATTGTTCGCGAAGCAGCGCAAATGGGTTCATATTTCCCATGGCGGTTGTTAGATGTTTGCGGGCGGCAGGCAATGGAGGGAAAGTCGCAAGGGAGCCCATGGAAACATGAATGAGAAGCCGTCCGAAAATCCACTGGGAGGGCACACGGGCGCATTCTGGAAAACAAGCTGGAAAGACGTAGGAGCCAACATAAAGCCCATCGGCCCATCGGGGTTGGCTGGACACCCATGTAGAACTTGTCAACCAAACATTGGTGTCCAGAGGAATGCATCTCACATTGCTTTGGAAACTGAAAGGTGGCCACTGATCCTATAACGTAGCCACAGCAAGGACACTTGGGATACCCACGTCGGCAACAAGGAGACAAAAAAGGCAATATATCGAGAGCCCATGGTGCAAGGAAGCGTTATATGGGGCAGCTCGGGATTTGAACATACATCGAAGATCATGAACGCGTTCGCAGCATACACCCAGCGAGACCCCGATTGGGGGTACTGCTGTTACTGAGCTCATGCATGTGCCATGGAACGTGTCGAGGTAGCGTGACGCAGCACAGCATATCATAACCTGGCATAGCATAGCATGGCTGAACATTGCATAGCACGACATAGCATGTAATATAATTGCCTTGCTTGGCGTTGATGGCGGATGATGAGGAGCTGAATTGAGTTGGGTACAACCACGTGAGGTCCTCAACGAACATCCTGGCAGCTGAAAGCGACATGCTCCAGAAGGCATTCCACCAACCTGTCCACCATTTGCTGCTTGTACGGGCGGTGTGCTGAAAGGAAAGTCGCGAGCGGGAGACAATATCTGGAAACGCTCGCAATGGCCAAATATGTTCAGGAGGAGGAGGAGGAGAAGAGTGGAGGGGAGAAGGAAGATTGGGAGCGGGGAAGGAGGGAGGAGGTGGGGGAAATATGGGGAGGAGAAGAAGGGCTTGGAAGGGGGAGGACAACGGATAATCCAAACCGCTCTTAGAGGAAGAGGAGGAGCGGAAGGAGCGGAAGGAGGACTGGGAGCAGGCGGGGATACACGGCCCCCATGAGGATAATGCGGATGATCGAGAGCAGAATGAGGACTCCATGAGGACCAGGTGATGTGAGGTAGAGGGCGAAGACAAAAAGGAACTGGAAGAAGAGAATTGACCATGGTTGGTTCGACGCCCCTGGCTCCTATGCACGCGCTCCAAACGCATCTGATGAAATAGCTGAACAACATCCGCCCATCGCTTACCGCGCCTGCACAAGCGGGGCCATGGCCACAGCGAGCAGGCGAGTAGCGCAGTGAAGAAGGTGAGGAGGACGAGGAGGAGGAGCAAGGGCCAAGGCGATGACAGGAAAAGAAAAGGCGGCGGCACCAGGAATGGGGACGGGGAAAGGAAAAAGAACGAAACGAGGAACGCAACGGGCAAGAGGGGTGACAAGGAAAACACGGAATTGGAGTACAGGGGGAAATGTAAGGGGACTTGAAAAGGAAAGCAGTCCTCCCACTCCTCCACCTCCTCCTCTTCCTTCCCTTTGTTCTCGATGTCCTTCACCCCCACCCCCTCATCCTCTTCCAGCGCATCCTCCGTCCGATACATTCCTTTACGTCGCACACTTGAATATCAAAAGCTTCCGACAAGAATATGAACAGAGGGCCGTAGGGCCGAGATGCCAAGATGCGGCTCTCGCTGTAGCGCCACGCGCGTTCGCTTCAACACGGCCAGCAAGTACGCACATAGGGCGTATCAAAATGCGTCTGCTGGAAGCTACCCCCCCCTTCCCCCCTTTGGTTTCAAAGGGGGGGGTGCTTAGCAGCCCCCCCCCTCCCCCCCCGTTCGGCACCCGGGAAGCTACCCCTCCTCCTCCCGTTACGAAAAGGGAGGGGAGCTTAGCTACCCCTCCTCCTTTGACCCCTCTGCCGGGAGCCCCCCCCCACTTCCCTCCATGTTCTCCCTCCTGCCTGAAGCTACCCTCCCCTCCCCCCTTTCCACAAAAGGGGAGGGGCGGCTTAGCCACCACCACCCTCCCTTGAACTCCCCCTGCTGGAAGATCCTCCCCCGTCGCCGTCGTCGTTGCCGTCGCCGTCGCTCGACGTCTTCGTACGACGCCGTCGTCGTCCTCGTCGTCGTCGTCGCCGCCGTCGCCGTCATTGTCGCCGTCTTTGTATGACCTCGTCGTGGTCGTCACGACGAGGACGAGGCCATACGAAGATGGCGACGGACGACGGACGACGCACGACCGACGACCGACGACGACGACGACGACGACGACGACCCAGGGTCAGAGAAAACGAGACCACGACCCAGGGTCCGAGAAAACGAGACCACGACCCTGGGGCCGAGAACACGAGAAAACGAGAACACGAACCAGGGTCCGAGAAAACGAGACCGAGACCCAGGAGCCGAAAACACGAGAAAACAAGAAAACGAACCAGGGGCCGAGAAAGCGAGAAAACGATACAAGGAATCAGGGCCCCCAAAAAATAGACTACGAACCAGGGGCCGAACAAAACAAGACAACAAGAAAACGAACCAGTGGTCGACGTTATTGTTCAATGTGTTCTCTAGCGCTGCGGTGCGCACCTGTCTGCAGGGATTCAGCCATTTTGCCATAACCCCAGAAGCGAGGGGGAGGGGGGGTAGCTTCGGAAGCCTCCCCCCTCTTTGCAAAGGAGGGTAGAGGGGGGATAGCTTGAAGCCGCCCCCCCCCGTGTCCAGACCAAAAACAGGAAGGGGGGGGTAGCTTCCGAAGCCCCCCCCCCCTCCCCTTTGAAAGGGAAGCCCGGGCTTACACTCTGCTCCAGAAGAAGGGAGGGAAGGGGGGGATAGCTTGTAAGCCCCCCCCCTTAGCCAGGGCCTCCTTAGCTAGGAAAAACGTACAGAAGGGAGGGGGGTAGCTTTGGAAGCTCCCTCCCCCCCTCTTTTGGATGGGAGGGGGGTGGGGGGTAGCTTGAAACTGGCCCCCCCTTTCCTTATTCCCGGCGCCGCGGGCGCGCTCTTTCCTCTGTGTGTCTCTCTCTCTCTCTCTCTTTCTCTCTTTCTATCTCTCTCTCTCTCTCTCTCTTTCTCCTTCTCTCCTACGAACGCAACAAGTGCCTGAGAGCACCGCAACTTTCCCGCGACAACCGCCCCTATACAGATCCCTATGCGGATCCCTACGAGGATCCCTCTAGGGATCCCTATGCGCATCCCTATGCGGGTCTCTATATGCGGATGCCTATGCGGATCCCTATGCGGATCCCTATGCGAATGCCTATGCGGATCCCTATGCGGATGCCTATGCGAATTGCCATGCGGATCCCTATGCGGATCTCTATGAGGATCCCCACGCGGATCCCTATGCGGATCCCTAAGCAGATCCCACTGCGGATCTCTGTAAGGATCACTGGGAATCCCAATGCGGATCCCTATGCGGATCCCGATGGATCTCTCCATGCGATCCCCATGCGGATCCCTATGCGGATTTCTATGCGGATGCCTTTGCGCATCCCTATTCGGGTCCCGATGCGGATCCCTATGCGCACGGCGGCAGTGCTGGGGCGCACTGGGGGCCGGAGCGTTACGTTATGGGGGGGCGGGGGGGCCATAACGCGCGGTATGGCCCAAACAAAAGAAAACACGCAACTTCGAATAAGTTCGGCGTTCTTTCTCCAGCTCAGGCCCGAGATAATCAAAGAGGGGCCTCACATTTCCAAGCCTTCAAGGCGACCCAACAAACCCAAGACGCCGCAAGAGGACTCCAAAAGCGGCTGCAAAGGAGCCCCAAAAAGCAGGCATCTGTAATGTTCCGTGAGTGTTTTAACTGATGTTAGCATCTCGTTGGTTTGGGCTTCCGACGCCCCAAGACGGCCCAATAGCACCCCAAGATCACCCCAAGACGGTGCAAGAGACCCCCAAGAGGGCTCCACAATGGCCCAGAGCCCCAAGACGGCCCCAGAGGCCCCAAGACGGCCCAGGAGGGCGCCAAGACGTCCCCACGAGGGGCTCAAGAGAGAGAGAACCCGAATTGACATTTCGAGCCCTCCGCCCCTGAAGGACCCCCGAGACCGCCAGCAGGCGCCCAAGAAGGACCTAAGAGGCCCCAAGGGACCCCCAAGAGGCCCAAAATAGACCCGAGAGGCCCCCAAGAGGCCCCGAGAGGCTGGGAGAGGAGGAAACAATGCGACGCCAAACAGTGTGTCGTGTGAGTGCCTGGCGGGCATGGCAAGTCCTCGGAACAGGACATCATGAAGAGCTCCAAGTGAGAGACTTTCAAAGCGCGCCCTTGCCACTCCAGCTTCTCAGAAATGGATTGGCCAGAAAAGATAATAGCGAGCTCCACCGCGAGACCCGAATGATGATCGACTGTTTTCCCGCGAAGACGGCGGAGGAGAGGGCGCGGGGGGGGACAGGGAGAAGCCTGGCCATCCGCTCCTTCAGAGACACGGGGGCCATTCGGCGGCCATGAATTCTTCGGAAAGAAGCCAGGGCTCCGGAGGCGGCGCGCAGAAGAGGGTGGCGCAAGGTGAGGGGCCTTCTGAAGAAGGCAAGATGCGACCTGCTTGGCTTGGAAGGCCTCGAAGGGCTCTGGGAATCCTTACTCAGATGCGAAACCAGGACCAGGACAAGTCGGGGATCTCTCTAGGGCTCCCAACTTCGCGCTTCGCGCTCCGCGAAGCGCGAAGCGCGAATAACTTCGCGCTCTCGCGCCGCCCCCCCAAACGGAGAAAAGGAGGACGAGGAGGAGGGGGAGGAGAAACGAGGACCGCGAAGCGCGAAGCGCGAATAACTTCGCGCCCTCGAGGGAGCCCTTGCTGGCGGTTCTGGAGGAGTGTCGGGCGCCGCGGCCGTTCCACAGCGCTCCAGAACGCTCTGAGAGAGCTCCGGAAGACTCTGGAACGACTTCTCCCGGCGCTGGCCATCCAAGAAATCTGCGCGGGCCTCCAGAAGTCTAGGTTTAAGGCGTTTCTTTGTTCCCCTCGCCGAGATGCTCTTCCCTCGTGCACGCCTCTTGGGGCCTCCCGTTGGGGGCCAGCGTCGCCGTGGCTGGGTTCGCCTGGGAGCCCGAGGCAGAACGCAGCCCCCGCGCAGTCCCCAACGGCGGCCGGCGAGAGGGATGTGAAGAGGTCACCTGGCCTCTCCGAAGGCGTCACCTCGGGCCAGACCCTCCCGCGGCGCTCCACCGAGTCCGTGGTGCACGCGGGCGACGCAGGGGCTCCCGAGCGAGCCTCTGCGCGAGCCCTGCCGTGGCATTATCCGCGGCGTCTTCCCGCGCCTCTAGCTCACGTCGGGGGCCGGGCGGCTGGGCTGGACGTGGCACCTGGTCGGGGGCTGCGAGAAGTGTCCCTGGCCCGAGGTGCCCTCGGGCTCTCCAGAGAGGCCCCCACTGGCCTCCAGAGCACCCCGTCGCGAGGCCCAGGGGGCCCCCGGGGGCTCCAGAGTAGAGCGCAGCGCTGGGGGGGATACCTGGGGCCGGAGACACCTTGAGCAGCCCACGGCCTGGGGGCCTCGACCGCGGCGAGCAGGGTGTCCAGGGCATCGAGGGCGGCGAGGCCCAGCGACGGCAGGAGGGCGCCCTGCCCGTCGTCCGCCGCCGCCGCCAAGGCGACCGCGCCCGGGGGCGGCAGCGGCCCGCGGGGCGCCGGGCCGCGGGCGCAGCCGCGGCAGAGGTCCGCACAGCACGCGGAGCAGTGCCACCTGAGCGAGGAAAGCCAAGGGCGTCCTCGCACGGTGACGCGGCGGCCTCGCGCGGCGGCTCACGCGGGCCGCTGGCGCGGCACGCTGACGCGCGACCTGACGCGGGCAGCGAGCGCGTTCCCCGACCCGCAAAGCAGCTGCTCGCAGATGGGCTGGATCCGCCGCGGGGGATCTACGAAAAATCTCATCGAAGCGAACATCTGTGTTTCGGATGTTTGCGAGTAGGCACTTTGCGAATAGAACGCGCTTGGTGATGCGTGCGGATGTCCGCGCAATCGACCCCGCCCTTCTGCGTCGCGCACCTGTAGGCCCCGTCGCGGGCCCCCGAAGACCCGCACTCGGCGAAGTTGTCGCAGTGCCAGCCCTGGTGGTACGGCCCGTCGCGGCGGCAGCTCCATGCCATGCGGCCACCGCATTCGGAGCACGGAGGCTGCGGCCGCTCACGCTGCGTAGCCTCCGAAGGCGTGTGCGCAGACGTCCAGAAGTCAGGATCCGCGTCCCGCGGCGGCGCCGCCGCGGGCCGCTGCGGCGGCTCCGATGCGAGGAAGCTCGTGGGGCGGGGCAGAGGTTGTGGGATCTCTGGCTTCTCTTCACGCCGCGAGAGGATCTCGACGAGGTTCGCGCCGCAATTGAATTCGCGACATACCTCGGCATTGGTCGCCGCGTGCGAGCCGCACTGAACATCAATGCCAGGGGCGGTTGCATGGATGGGCACGCCATCGCGGCGATCGGAATCTGCGTCAAATGATTTATTGACTGACTTCTCACCCTTCCGTGGGCACAGCATGCAGATGGAGACGCCGACGCCGACGCACCCAGCAGTGCACCCGCAAACGGCAACTGCAAGCAAGACCGCATCTCTGATCGAAGCCGATGTCGACACGCTCCAGATTGGTGTGGCAGTGACGGTGGCGGTAGAGGCTGATGTAGCAGAGACGGTAGCAATAGAGGCTGATGTTGTAGTTATGGTGGCAGAAGAGCTTGTGCTAGTGCGTGTCGACGTGCGACTAACAGTCGCAGAGGTATCCGTGGCGGTGGTTGTTGCCGTGTCTGAGCTGCTAGAAAAAGTTAGAGTGTGTGGGGTGCTGGTTGATGTCGTGACCGTCTGAGTGGCTGTACTACTCATACTCAAGGTTCTTGTCGAGCAACTGTCGCAGCACTGCCAGAGATACGACACGTCGGCGCCGCAGTCGATGAGGGCGCACCACCACGGCTCTGCGCACTGCCACGACGAGAAGTCCCCCGCGGCAGGCGCCGTGGACGCCGTCCAGCCCGTCCAGCTGGTGGCAGCGGTCCCGCCTGTCGTGGCAACGGCTGGCCCGCAGGAGCACGGGCACAGGTCCGGCGCGCCCTCCTGCGAGAAACTCTCCCTCCCGTCCGTCCCCGCCCTGCCCCCCCTCCGTAAGGGCCGACCCTCTGGAGCAGTCGAAAACCATCCGCCACCGCGCTTGCAGCGGCAAGCGTGCGTCGATCCCTGGGTCCACCACCGTGCCCTGAGGCACGAATTGGAGTGTCCTCAGATCCCTTAAAGAGCCCTCTGTCCTGAAACCAAAGGGTCCTTTGAGGAACCCACATCCCGGAGCACCAGGCGCTTCCAGGCACTCCTGAGTCTTCTCGCACGGCCCAAGAAGTCCCAAAGAGGTCTTCAAGACGGCCCAAGAGGCTCCCAAGACGGATCACGAGGGCTCCAATAGGGACCCAATAGGGGCCCCAGAGGGGGAGAACGAACGGACATTTCGAGCCCTCTGCCCCGAAACGAAATCAGAGACATCAGGCCCTCAAGACGCCCCCTAGAAGCTCGAGGGGGCCCCCCAAAGGCCCAAATCAGTAGAGCGACGGCCCCTGGGTGCTATCCGAGCCCAGCCAATCAGCCGATCGGCTGCTCGGCAGCTGATCGGCTGATCGGCTGTTCGGCATTCTCGACCGCTGATCGGCACGTAGGCCGGTCGGCCGATGATCCCAAGACGCCCAAGAGGCCCTAGATGGCCCAAGAGGGCCCCAAGATGGGGAACTCGAATTGAGATTTCAAGGCCTGCGCCCCCAGGGGGGGACCCGAGACCGCCAAGAGGTCCTCAAGAGGCGCCCACGGGGACCCAAGGTGCTCTCAAGAGGCTTCGAAAAAGCCCCAGGAGGCCCCCAATCGGCCGACTCAGACCCAATCGAGGCACAGTGGCAGCATGGGCCAGAGGCCAGTAGACCTGCTTGGCACGGGGACGGAAAGCGCACTTGCTTTCAGAGCGCACGAGATCGCTGGCTCGTCCGCTCTTACACCTCTTATTGACTCCCTTCCCCTCGCTCTTGTCCTATCTCAGCCTCGGAGGGTCGCGGAGCTTTCTTTGAGCGCGTTTCTTGTTTTGGAGGGGGCGGTCAGGTCGCGTTGCGTTTTCCGCGTTTGGGCTGCCAGCTTTCCAGAACTCCGCATTTTCCTTGCGTGGACCGCTCGTTGTCCACGCGTTGCCGCCCGTCCCTGTGCCCTGGCGTCAAGAACTTATTACGCCGCAGTTCTCTGTTGGGAGCTTTGGTCTTATGAGCTCGATTACATCACCGCTCGCTCTTGGGAGCCGCGGTGGTAAGAGCCTTTGGGAGTATTATGGGCCTCTTGGGGGGCTCTTGGGGAGCCTCTTGGGTGCCTCTCGGGGACCTTTTGGGGCTTTTCGAGGGCCTCTTGGGGCCTCCTGGGAGCTTCTGGGCTGCGGGGGTGAAAGGACTAGGCTGCCTTCGGCCGTCTTTGGGCTCTCTTGGGGGCCTTTTGGGGCCTTCTGGGGGCCGTCCTGGCGCCGTCTTGGGCCGTCTTGGCGCCTCTTGGGCCGTCTTGGCGCCCTCTTGGGCCGTTTTAGGGCCCTCTTGGGGGCCTCTTGGGCCTTCTTGGGGCGCTCTTGGGGGTCTCTTGGACAGTCTTGGACGCCTCTTGGCCCGTCTTGGCGCCCTCTTGGGCTATTTTGGGGGCCTCTTGGAAACATCTTGGGCCGTCTTGGGGCGGTCTTGGGGGCCTCTTGGACCGTCTTCAACGCCATGAAAGGCGAAAAGCCGTATATGCTAGAAATGCACGTTTTCCTCTAGAAAATCAATGATGTTGGCCTCTTGGGGCCCTCTTGGGACGCCTCGTGGGCGCCTCCTGGGGCGTCGTGGAGGCCTCTTGGGACGTCTTGGGGCCGCCTTGGGCGGTCTTGGGCTCTCTTGGAGCGCTCTTGGGCCGTCTTGGGCGCTTCTTGGGCCGCTTTGGTCTTATGAGCTCGATTACATCACCGCTCGCTCTTGGGAGCCGCGGTGCTAAGAGTCTTTGGGAGAATTATGGGCCTCTTGGGGGGCTCTTGGGGAGCCTCGTGGGTGCCTCTTGGGGACCTTTTGGGGCTTCTCGGTGGCCTCTTGGGGCCTCCTGGGAGCTTCTGGGCTGCGGGGGTGAAAGGATTAGACTGCCTTCGGCCGTCTTTGGGCTCTCTTGGGGGCCTCTTGGGGCCTTCTTGGGGCCGTCCTGGGGCCGTCTTGGGCCGTCTTGGCGCCTCTTGGGCCGTCTTGGCGCCCTCTTGGGCCGTTTTGGGGCCCTCTTGGGCCTTCTTGGGGCGCTATTAGGGGCCTCTTGGACAGTCTTGGACGCCTCTTGGCCCGTCTTGGCGCCCTCGTGGGCTATTTTGGGGGCCTCTTGGAAACATCTTGGGCCGTCTTGGGGCGGTCTTGGGGGCCTCTTGGACCGTCTTCAACGCCATGAAAGGCGAAAAGCCGTATATGCTAGAAATGCACGTTTTCCTCTAGAAAATCAATGATGTTGGCCTCTTGGGGCCCTCTTGGGACGCCTCGTGGGCGCCTCCTGGGGCGTCGCGGAGGCCTCTTGGGACGTCTTGGAGCCGCCTTGGACGGTCTTGGGCTCTCTTGGAGCGCTCTTGGGCCGTCTTGGGCGTTTCTTGGGCCGTCTTGGGCCGTTTTGGGCGCCGTCTTAGACGGCTCAAGAAGCGCCCAAGAAGCGTTTTCCGATGATGTCTCGAGCGAAACGCTGTTGTTAAGCCCCAAAGGCCGTCCTACCCGATAAAAAACGAGGCGGGAGGGCAATTCGATCCGGGTCTGGCGATGCCACCCACCTCGAACTCACCCAAGTCCAGTTTCTTCCGGCTAACGGACCGCACGCTAACGCGCGCCCTCCGTCATCCGCCGACCCCTGTTGGCTTGCCACAGGGGTGCCTGGCGTGCTAAACCCTAACATACGGCTTGGTTTGGCTTCTTCTCCAAACAAAAACTCCCCCTGGGGCTTTGGCCCGTCCCGCTAGCCACGCCAAGAAGGCCGCGCCACTGCGCAACCAACGTCTCCACGACGGCCTCGATGGCCTCCAAGATTGTCCAAGGTGGCCTCCAAGATGGTCCAAGATGCCTCCAATTCCACCCTAGAAGCTTCCAAGAGGGCCCAAGATGCCCTCAGGAGACCTCCAAGAAGTCCTCGAGGCCAAAATCACTGATTTCCCGTACGTTGTGATGGAATGTGCCCTTTGCTTCTTCCCAACCATCCTGTGATGTTGGGTCCACGTCTTGAAAAGACAGCTCCCCGCGGTCACTCCTCCCCGGTCACTCCTCCCGCTGCCCCCTCCGTCCTCCTCTCATCATCAGCATCATCATCATCATCATCATCATCATCATCATCATCATCATCAGCACCATCATCATCATCACCATCATCATCACCATCATCATCATCATCACCATCATCATCAGCGTCATCATCATCATCATCATCATCAGCATCATCATCATCATCATTATCATCCTCATCATCACCACCACCACCACCATCAAAAGCATCAACATCAGCATCCGCATCAGCATCAGCATCAGCATCATCATCATCAGCATCATCACCATCAGCAGCATCATCATCAGCATCAACATCAGCATCATCATCATCGTCATCATTATCGTCATCACCCGTTTCAGCTCACGCCTCACACGTTTCGTGGCCACATAGGGAGCTCTACCGAAAATCCCAGTGCTACCGCCCGCATGCGTCCCCCCCACCCAATATAGCGCTTCGCAACTGCATACGGAGCTCCACCGAAGGTCCCAATGCTACCGCCCGCATGCGTCCCCCCCACCCAGAACAGCGTTTCGAGCTCCCATAGGGAGCTCCACCGACGGCCCCAGTGCTACCGCCCGCATGCGTTCCCCCCACCCAGTACAGCGCTTCGTGGCCCCATAGGGAGCTCCACCGACGGCCCCAGTGCTACCGCCCGCATGCGTTCCCCCCACCCAGTACAGCGCTTCGTGGCCCCATAGGGAGCTCCACCGACGGCCCCAGCGCTACCGCCCGCATGCGCCCCCCTTCACCCAGTACAACTTTTCGTGGCCACATAGAGAGCTCCACCGAAGGTCCCAATTCTACCGTTCGCATGCGCCCCCGCCAACCAGTGCAGCGTTTCTTGGCCCAATCGGCAGCTCAACCGACGGCACCAGTGCTACCGCCCGCACGCGTCCCCCTACCCAGCACAGCGCTTCGTGGCCCCATAGGCAGCTCCACCGAAGACCCCAGTGCTACCGCCGGCATGCGCCCCCCCAATCCAGTACAGCGTTTCGTGGCCCATAAGGAACTCCACCGAAGGTCCCAGCTCTACCGCCCGCATGCGTCCCCCCCCACCCAGTACAGCGTTCTGTGGCCACATAGGGAGCTCCACCGACGGCCCCAGTGCTACCGCCCGCCCGCATGTGTGCCCCCACCCAATACAGCGCTTCGTGGCCCCATAGGGAGCTCCACCGACGGCACCAGTGCTACCGCCCGCATGCGCCCCCCCCCCGCCCCACCCAGTACAGCGCCTCGTGGCGCCATAGGGAGCTCCACCGACGGCCCCAGTTTTACCGCCCGCATGCGTTCCCCCACCCAGTGCAGCGCTTCGTGGCCCCATACGGAGCTCCACCGAAGAAGATTTTCACAACTGCGGTACTCACAACTGCATATGGATGGGTCCTTTTCCAAGGTAATGTTCGGCCGCACGGCGGCCCAATACGGCCTCAGAGGTCCCCAAAAATGCCCCAAGAGGCCTCCAAGATCGCCCCAGATCGGCCCAAGGGACCCCCGAGACGGCCCCAAGAGGGCCCCAAGACGGCCCAAGAGGCATCCAAGAAGCCCAAGATGGCCCCCAAGAGGCCCACAATTGTCCAAAATGGCACAAGATGCGTCCACGTCCGCCCAAAGAGCCTCAAAGACAGCCCAAGACGACCCCATAAGCCCCAAGTGTCAATGATAATGGATGTGCCCGCGCTTTTTACGACTCCAGCTGCAAGATCCGCTGAAACGATCGATATGCAAGTCGAACGCGCACGCTCGAAGAAGCAAACAGTCCGTGCACAGGAAACCCAGATCGTGATCTGAAATACCTC